AACACAACGGAGTGGAATGGTGTATGTATGTTGTCGACACTAGAGGGCACAACGGAGTGGAATGGTGTATGTACGTCACTAGGGGACACAATATATATTTCTACAATTAAGCATGTACTGATCACCATCCCAAGTTAGAATAAATCCACCTCATGCAGGGTGAGGACACACTCAAAATGTTAGAAAGCAAGCCTGATGTAAAAACAGGGTATAGTAATTGCTGCTGCTGGAATTTGTGATGATAGTGTGTAGTAAAAAAACATACTGTAAACAATTCTATTTTCACAATTTAGTACTTACAGGGAATTAGAGACAGAGTCATTGTGTAGGGTGGTGGTTGGTGGTTGCCACACAGTAAATGCTTAAATTGCATGCGAACCAAAAATAAACTATACAGGCCGTGGTATACTATGGGATGTGGTGCGACAACCACCAACCTTCAATGACTTCAAATGTCCACTGCTACAAGGTATCTTGTGAAATTAAATCAGTTTACAGTAAAACCAGTTCTGATGATGTGTTATTGTTGAACACGTCTGCTTACTCAGAACTATATCAGGTACGGCAGTGCGTGCGTGTACATACCATGTGTTTGTGATTGAGTGGAATGGAAGGTGAAGGTGGTGTAGATATTATGACCACTGGACAGCTGACCACCACATAAAAAAAAATTACTTTGTTTCAATTTGTGTTCCCTAAAGCAAATTACAGTTTTGCGAGACCATCGTTAACCTGAGGCCCACAGTGCATGCAAATCAAAATCCTTGTTACTGCCCTTCACTTTTAGTGATCAAACTAAGAGATTATGATGTTCAACCAGTAATTGTATAGCTATGTCTTTCACAACTTAGTTTAACCCTTAAATTTACACCAGTATTATGATTTACTTATTTTAATTAGGCGAATGGCAAGTGTGTTCTTCATGGTTGTGTAGATAACATTTGAGAAGATACATTCCACAAATTTACAAACAAGCATTTCCCAAGATTGAATTGTGTTCAAGTGTGACTCTCAATCATGCTTTTGCATGTTCTACACTGTTGGCAATAAAACAGATACATTCTGTATGTAGCCAAAACTAGTAATGAGTCAAAGCTTCTCATAAAGTCTTTTAAAGTTTCTCATATAATTGAGCAAGAAATGAAACTAGTATACTTTGCATGGTTTACTGCTGATTTTCACTCTACCATTAGAATCAAGGCATATTGCCACCAACACATGTGATTCCTCTGTTTTAAGAAAACAAAGTATTACAGAATTGTGTTTTCAAATGGCAAACTGGCACATTTAGAGGGAGTACTCGGCTGGGTCATTTTTCCAAGATTTCCAGTACCAGTACAGTTGAATTGGTTTCATTATTGGGACTATCAACTCTGTAATGATGCTGTTTACTGCTTTATTTGAAAAAAAACTATTTTTAATTTTTTAAACTCAACTCATTGGCTTCTGTGTAAAATAGCTCTAGTTTATTTAATATTAGTATGAGACCATAATAACATATTTCAAGTTTAAGTTTTGTGTGGTTTTAACTATTTGGTTGGTGGTCAACTGTTAGCTCAGATGGTCAACTGAACCCAGGTGGGATAACTACCCAGCTATAGTGAAATCGGTTTCTGACTTTATATTTACTTACTTCGGACACTAGTGTGAATGTAATATAGGTCAATTTAACACCTGGTGGGGCATCAGCACGTACGATCGGATCTAGACTGTTGCAAAAACAAAACACATGAAGAAAACAAGAAGCACACACATGAGACGATTGCTGTACTTACATCGGAGTTGAATGCAAATATCAATGTGCTGTATTTGACACCCGGTGCTGGTACACTCACTATAATAGGATCTAAACTGTAATAAACATAATGTCAGCTTCTATCATTAATTTGGACAAACAAGAACATGTGGCAGAATAATTACAAAATCTGTAATATTTCTGTGAAGAAAACCCAAATGCATTTACAAGCAATATAATGACAATAGATGGTACATAGATATGTTACTGTTGATTCAAACCTTGTACTGTCAAGACCGATGAGCCTTGGTTCAGACAAGCCTATGAATAATGCCCATAATATTTAAATATGCATGACATATTTAGATATTATTAAAAACACTGAGTTTGACTACAAATTTAACAGGTCAAAAAAGTCATCATCCACAATGTTTTGAAATGATCACTAAAACAAAAATAGGATTTTTCGAGCATGTGGGATTATTAAAATTTTCTTACCAACTGCAGGATGACTCTGAATCTAACACACAGGTGTGAACACCGCCCTCTTTGGGCCGATATCAACAGAACTGAATATAAGAAATACACATGCATGTACATGTATATGGTGGGTTTTTAAGCAAATTTGTATGCTTTTTTGGGGGGTATTTTTTTAATTGTTGTTTGATTTAGAATTGGGTAAATTTGTGATGGTAAATTGAGTGATAGGTCAGTAAAATTGTACACAAGTAGTACTTTTATTCATTATTTACAGAACAGAATAAGTAGTTATTACCAGATTGCAGCGGCCGATACAGTCACCATATTGTCCATGTGTATACTTCATGTCATAACTATATTACTATATTTATACATACTTTCCTGTTCTGGTCACAATTTAGTAAAAGATAAAAACCCAAAATGCCAGCAAAAAGCATTTCAGGAGTTCATAAAGGAATAATTGTTTTTAGTTCAGTTACACCATTCTATTTCTCACATATGTTTTGGAAATCAAAAAGGTGTCCAAAACACATTTCAACACGTCCGTACAAGATGTTACCAATGGCTAATTTTTGATGCTACAATATAACTTACGTGCTGACATTGAGATCCCATATCTCCACGGCACCTTCATTGACGCATCCAAAGACAGTAGCTGACTTGGGTGACCAACTTATATCCATAACAGCTTTCTGAAACATATAGTAATACAATCTCAAATAAAGTAATGGGAATTACTGATTCATTTTACACTCACTTGACCTTACAGTCTTTCAATTACTGTAGAATACTTTATTTTCGCTTGGAATTTATTTTGGCTATTTTCGCTGAAGGGATGATTTTTCCGTGAAAATGAAATCCAGTGAATATACTTTTTTTCCTATATTTCGCATTAAACTCATCAAAAATCAGTGAAAATAAATTCCATACAAAAACGCCTAAAAAGCCTTTTCAGCGAAAATTAATTCCAGCGAAAATAAAGTATTCCACAATATGTGACTTTCTTTAAGTCATTATAATAATACTGTCTCCATGAATGAATTTGCATTGATTTCACAGAATTACGTGCCTTAAATATTTGCTGTGTCACATTGCTTTGTGACTTGCATTATAATATCTTGAACTGATTTGAATAAAAATAATTATTTCCCAAATAATTTTTTCCCGACTATAGTTATAGATATAGGGAAAGATCATGAGACAGTAGTTACCATTCTAACCATACAAGTTAAATTGCATAAAAATAATTATAGCTGCAAGACATATTTGTTAACTTGGATTCACTGACATTAAAACTAACGGGAAATTGGTGGAGCTCTATGGGAGACAAGGTAGCTCCTCGGAGCTTCCTGGACCACCACACATTACATCTTAAACTAGTTGAAAGGTTTAGAATTGGACAGAAGTGAAAGTTATTCCTTAACTACTGGAAAAGTTAGTAATATAGTCTACTTTCTGGTGAGATGCCTGTACCTTATAGCACCCTGTTTGAATCTAACATGTTACGGTTCTAGTGTTAGCAATCAGTGTTATTGCTCTTTGAACCTTTATGACTCAGGCCTGATTTCACTTTCGAGCATGCCTTTAAAATGCTGTATAAGTATAAGTTTACATTATCATTATTTTTGTTGACATGACTTTGAGTTTTGTGGCTTTGATATCTCAAAGTAAAAATAATATTTTAGTATCAAAGTGAAGAAAATACAGCAATAAACAACAGAGACTTGATCTATGGTTACTCATTCAGTGGCAACTAACGATACTTACAGTTGAAGAGTAGAAATTAACAATAGGTTGTATTCTATCTTGCCTCCATAACCTTATACTCCAATCTGCACTACAACTTAGGAAGACATCAGTTAAAAACGGTGACCATTGTACTTTGTACACAGGACCCTGGTAATACGGATATTTAAATAAATCAATCAATTTCATTAGATGTACATTATATAAACGCTATATAGGTGTAAATGTCAAATTGTATGGGGAAATTACAATCAATAGACTGACTATGACTGCATTCTTTTTCAAATTCTAATACTTTCCCAAGGTTTTCTTTGAAATATTCAGCAAAAGGTTCAACTTCCAAAAATGGCTGCTCGAATACATACATATTAAAGTATGACATCTCATATTAATATAACCCCATGTCTACTTGACTATTCAGTATTCATGCGTTTGAAAATGTAATCAGTCTGGACTAGTACTGCAGTACTGGGAATATTTATGGATATGATATTTATCGTAAATATACTGACCGTATGTCCAATGTAAGTATCCAGGTACTGTTCATTGTAGGAACAGGAGCACTTATGAATATGTCCTTCTTCTGTACCAGCCAAATATCTATCAAGAACAGTGTCTTTATAAGTAAATGCAAATACATACACAGACACTGCGTCTACTCTGACAGTTTATGTTATCACATACTTGTTTATTATTTTATGTGGGGTATTAATTATCAAGGCAACAGACATGTGAATATGTGCCAGTTTTCCACCCTTCTTACACACACATTGCTTGCATTCACTTCTATTTTATTTTATGAAAGAGCAATTCTTTGGTAACTTTCAGAGGGGGGGGGGATCCAGCATAAAAGGCAGACACCAAATCATTCTTGGTTCCATCAGCCTTTTTACTTCCTGCAAATTACATGTACCATTACATGTACAGAGGAGCTTGTGTTGCAAAGGTAAACTCATGAAGACCTTATCCCATCCCATCCCTCAGTGCCATGCATACATCAATCACAATTATTTCTGACCAATGTCATTACCGAGCACAATAAGCACTTTAGAAAGGTTTAATGCGAGAACAGAATTAATCAATCATCTCTATTTGCAGTGCGTCTCTAATAAAAAACATATAAACCAAAAAATGCATTTGTTGTAAAGTGAATTATTGAAATATTAATTATTTTGATCACAGAAACAACCCTGTAAATTAGGTAAACACAAGAGAGCAATTACGATATCTAGATTCCAAAAGGTAAAAAATATACGAATATCCAAAAATACTAGTTAAAGAAAACACAGCCTGAGGCAATCACTAATTCATTTGCATCAATTATTTCTAGAAATGTTTGTCTTGTGATTTTGTGATCATCTCACAGTGACTTCAGGTTTAAACGCATACCTTAATACTATAAAATCCTGTGAATATAAATTACTCACATATTAGAGTCCTTAGCATTAAAATCAAAACATGTTCCTGGGGCCTGTCTTGAGATGAAAGCTTCTGTTTTCTTGGGTGCTTCTTGTCCCTTTTTACCTTGCTTCACAGATATTCTTTTCAACTTCATGAGATCTAGAATTGTCAGTGAAAAGAATATTCAAACCTTGCATAATACAAATGTATGACAATACACACAGTATATATAGTGTGGCTGATGGTGTGGTAGTGGGAGGCATTATACTGTGGACTACTTTATTTTCGCTGGAATTAATTTTCGCTGAAAAGGCTTTTTGGGCGTTTTGCTTGGAATTTATTTTCACTGATTTTCAATGAGTTTAATGTGAAATATAGGAAAAAAAGTATATTCACTGGATTTTATTTTCACGAATCATCCCTTCAGCGAAAATAGCGAAAATAAATTCCAAGCGAAAATAAAGTATTCTACAGTATGTGGCAATCAGCGACTGTTAATTGGTATTGTTTTTACAACAAATTTATTTATAAAATGTGAATTTCTTTAAAAATAGATATTTTTCAAGGTCACTTTTTGAATGCATGATACATGTATAATGTTGAGTCAATAACTCATCAGGAAATGAACATAACTAGTTATGTCACAGAGTCTCAGTGACACATCATACTGGCTTAGAGGACACAGTGGATGTCATAGTCCCTGTATATATTTTACAATTGAAACTGCATCTGTGAGTATGCACACTGCTCTGCCCGCTTGCTTATTTGTCCATTCTTAACATGTTTAACAAGGGTTACTTCAAGTTAATCAAACAAATCTTACAAACCGATAATAGTAATTTTTTTGGTGTTCTTTACATAAACACCTGTTTGCTCATTAATTTCAAGATGCTTCCATGCACATGTCACACGATGGCACAGGAAAATAGAACTTACCTGAACATTCAAAACCTTTCCTGATTAACCATTGTGTTACTCTACCATCAGTTGATATCGACACTAAGACTTCACCTTTGTCATCTCCTGATCCACGCTCTTTTTCTATCCATTTCAACTGCCACACTGGTGCTGAGTGCTTACCATTACTTTCACTGGAATGTAAAAGATGGTGGTAGTAATGCTGCTACACAGCTGTAAATATTATAGACACTAACAATGTAATTTATACAACTTGGTTCATTATTGTACACACTGACAGAGAGGGTAACATCAATCAATGTTTTATTGATTTTTATTAAATAAAGTATTGATAACAAAAAAATAATTAATTTAAGGTAGCAGGATAGTTTTTTTGCATGAAAAATGTAAACACCTATAATCGGAATAAATTTTACAAGAAACCATACAATCTATATATGTTTAGAAAGCTCTTGACTTGTATTTTCCTATTATTAATATTTTGTGAACATTGTGTTTGTTTTAGCGTCACGTGATTCTGAAAATCAGCGGGGCTGATAATTTAACTAACGTGAATAAAATTGTAATTGTCATCTCTACAGTCATTCATGCGATCAAAAACTTTACACTGTTTTGAAGCAAAGTCATGAAGTTTAAATCGTATTTCTATTTTTTGCATTAAGTATTTTTTTCCTTT